TGCTTGGACTGCCAGAGCCCTTCTGCTCCCCCTGCTCCTTGCCCCCAAAAGCCTGTCTTGGGGTCATCCAGGAGACCTCGGAGCCCCAGCCAGTGCAACTCTTTCTGTGTTGGCCAAGAAGGCAGAGAGAGGGTGCTCCGAGTTCAGGGTCTCAGCTCTGACCTCGCAGCATGTTTCTGAAGGTGGAGCTGGGACTCCAGATTTACCCCTTGGTCATTTAGTCTCTGTCCAGTGCCCATAGGACCGTCCCCTGAGATAGCATTACAGAAAGTCAGTGTGTGCCTTAAGCATTTTTAAGGGCATCCCCTAGTTGAGGGGTGTCTGTAAAGCGTGTGCACAGGAGGTTTGGGGGAGATCTGGAAGTGGGTGGGTGAACTTTCTCAAAAAAGCAACTGGAGTGAGGAATGAAAGTGAGAAAGGGTCTGGGAGCTGAAAAGGAAGGTACCTGCTGCTTAGGGATGTATGAAAGATCCCTCAGGGCTGAATGCTTGTACGGAACTTCCCAAATTCAGATCTGCCAAACCTAAACATGAACTGGAACACATTTGCACATGAAATTTGCGCGTCTCTACATTTTGCAATCCAGTTTGCAATTTTTAAAAATGCATTGTACAGTATTAGTGAAAACCACTTGCAAAAACCACTAGAAAAACTACATTAGAAAAATGTATATATCAGGAGAAATGCTTACAAAAATTGAGCAAATGTTCTCATGTGGCCTTTTTTCTTGAATGAATTTTGTCACATTCACTAGCTGGTGCAAATGCAGCAGGAACATGCTTGCCGTCAGAGCAATGAGAAGCCACCATGTTCTGTCCTTGCATCAACCAGAGTTGTCTGAAGTGGCCTGACTCTGTATCCCAGCCAGGGTTTGCTTCGCTCTTGGCCTACTCAGCAAACTTGTCTGGGGTGTTCGTACCATCATGGATAGTTCTGCTTCCAAATGATCTAGGTGTTTAAGCCATAAACACCCAGGCCGTTTAGAGCTTGCCCCAGGAAAGGAATATGGACATCTTATCAAACCCAGTGAGGGCACTTCCCTTCTTTGTATGCGACACCCCATGTTGCCTTCTCCTTTAATTCTCTGAAATGTTTTAGAAGTGCAGTCAAGGCCATTCTGTTTCGCCTGGTTTTTAATGCTGTATAATTTTGATTGCTCTTCCACAAATTTAATTTTTGAGAAGCTATAGTGATTTGCACAGTGGGAGATTCTGGGCACCTGGCTGGCAGAAGCCGTGTTTTGTATGCTTCATAGGAAATAACAACCCATTTTCTTGCAGCACCTTGAATTATTTAGAGAGGGGCTGCCTCCTTTCCATTTTTCCTTTCTCCCCACCCTTTTGTGGGCTCCAGACACCCAGCTCTGTGGACTCATTCAGTGCTCGTTCCGGTGCTGGTTCCTGAGCACTCCATTTTGGAGGTGCCGGAACACAAACAAGGCAGCTGAGCTGACCCTGCTTTGTGTCCCTACAACAGGCAGGAAGCTTCCCTCCGAACGATTTCAGGCTGATCTCCCTGTCCTGAGGCACTTTGGGGGAACCGTCAAAGATGTCAACTCTGCTTTCATTCATGCACACTTTCCTCACCCTAATCAATGAATTGTTGAGAGCTGGCCTACAGATAGGCAGGTGAGGCAGCTGCCAGAAACAGCAGGTGTTGCGTGTCGTGGAACAGGGCACAGGGTATTGTGATTGTACTTTTGCTGCTAGGAGAGAGGCCCTTCTGAGATGTGCTGCTTTGGGGGACAAAGTAACTGGCCAGGTGCGTGGGGAGCCCCATGTGCTGTCTACCCTGGAGGGCGTCATTCCTTGGGCTAGCCCCATAGGAGACTGCGGCAACTGAGCACAGACACTGCTGCTGCTTCTCCCTTTCTTCTTTTGCTTTTCCTTCCAGGCTGGAGGTGTTTTAGAGAACAAAGCCATGGCAAGACAGAAGAAACATGAAGTGGTGAAAACTGGAGCGGTGTCCAAAGTGCAGAAAAAGAAAGAGAAACGTCCAAGTCATGCAGAGGCTGTTGTCGGTATGAGTCCAGGAATATATTTAGACCAATTTGCGTCTTTAGTGCTCCCCTTACAGCAGCGTAAGGAAAATGCGACTTGGATTTTACAAATAGGATGTTGTAAACTTGAGATATACATAGCAATAAATGGCGGGTTCTTCTATAGTCTCCCAGCAGCGCAAGGAGCAGAAGCTTTTCCTTTGGCTGAGGCTTGCACACAGCATGAGTGCAGCCACGCTCCCTTCACTGCCAGGCAAATGCTGCTGCCAGAGCAAGGGCCGTAAAAGGGCTTTTAAAAAACAGCCAGCTCACAAAGGGGCCAGCATGAGGCCTGTTCTGGGAGCACAAAAAAGACAACTGGGCATGCTAGTTCTGAAGCCTTTCCAGCTTTTTCTGCCCTGTCCTGGCCACGGGCATAAGAAACATCCTTCGGATTAAACACATGTGGAATAAGGACTCAGAAACAGGCACCGCCCTCTTAGGAAGATGAAGGCTGCGTTCACATAGCACAACAAGCAACCCTGCAAGTTCACGTGCTTTGCAATTTTTTTTAGCATGATCCACCTGACGATCATGTGGTGGTTACTTTATTGTGGTTACCACCCTCCCCAGTCAGTTCTTCCACTGTTGGCACATACCCCACCAGCCTCTGCCCTTGAAATTCCATCCCAAGGTGCATCACTCCCTGGCTGTGTTGCCCACCTCTTCCTTATTGGTCCACACAGAAAGGCGGGATGGCTGGAGCAGCTTCTGCAGTTGCCACTCTTTCCGGAGGACTCTGTGGTAGTTGCACGCCAGGACCATCCACCACCGTGAAACCATAGAGCAAACCATTGTTTCTTCTCAGGATTTCTACAAACTTACCATGGTGAAATACCATGACAATCTACCATGGCTTGTGGCGCTGTATGAACTCAGCTACTGTGTAAATCTGTTGGTAAAACAGCAATGGATCCTCTGCCTGAAGTGAATATGCCTGCTCCATCTGCAAGCACATTGCACACAAATCTCTACAAAGCCTTGCAGTGCTCACTCTTGTGACATGGTGGCTTGTTTTCATGCAAGCATTCTTACTGGTGTGCACACCATGCCTTTGTTGTGGAGCGGTGGCTCCCAGACCTCCTTTCTGCATGAAAATAGAGGTCCAGCTCACCTGAGCATTGAAGAGGAGGTTTATTTTTTAACCTGTACATGAATCATCACTCTCTGAAGGCAGGTCATCCTGCTGTCACTCAGCAACAAGAGTGACTCAAGCGGAAACTCACTGCCTGGCTGCTCTCAGTGTGCTGGTTCGTTGTGATTTGCAACCTGCAATGGTCGATTGTGCTCTGAGAACCCCAATCAATTCACTCTGACAACCCGCAGCTTGTCCTAGGAGTTGCTGTACCCAGGAGAGGTCACATTGTCTTCCAAACCTGGCGACCAGCCCCATTGTGGGTACTGGGAATTCGCTAACCATTTGCTGGGGAAGAGCAGCAAACCCCTGTATTGCTCTTGCCAAACTTGCTCGGGCTTGACTAGCCAGAGCCGGCTCCCCACAAGTACCGAAGCAGCACGGGGGGCAGCTGGCACTGCCAGTGGATGGCCCCTGCCATGAGCACAAGCTGAATTCGGTGTGCTGCCCCTTTTTTCCATTTACCTTTCAGGATTGCAAAAGGGGCTTGCCAGCTGTTTTTGGCCATTCCTGTTTCAACAGTTTGAGACAGCCCCTTCAAATGCTCAAGCAGCACCTTGGAGGGACCATCATTGGCTGGCAAAAACATTTTTTATTCCTTGTTTGCCTGTTTACCAGCTAAGCAATTGTTTTAAACTTGAATGAGATATTTGCATTTGTTAAAGTTTTATTTTTGGATAGACATGCTTTTCCTTTAACCTCTTCTGTTTTGGTAGTAGCATCTCAACCGTTCCAGTCACCCACGACAGCAAGAAATGCTCTCACCAAGCAAAGGTTGAAGAGCTGGCAGGCAGACCCTATATCCGTGTGGGGATTCATTTGGCTTACTGGAGACCTTTCATTAATCATTTCTTAAAACCCATGAAAACCCACTCCTGAACCACTGTTGGGAATTACTTTATGGACCAATCTAAACATTACACACAAGCACACATAACGATAGCCCTCGTGAGCCATTTCTGAAATGAGAAGTCACTTTGACAGCATTAAAAAGCAGACAGCACGCAGAAGGGATGCTTAATGAGCCCTCCTCATCATTCCCCCTGCCCCCATTTCATGCCAGTCCAAACAGAAATTGCACGGACAGACATAGGTTTGCAAAACAACTCTCTTGTCTGGATAAAATTGTTTGAGGAAGGCAATTTTTGAGCATGGATTTGGGGCAGAGAATGGGTTAATGTGTTTTCCTACTGCTTTTTTGGTCTCTGCTGCATCCTCCCAAAGGAGATTTTAGTTTTTAAAAGTCTATCAGACTACTACTACATGTGTTTGTAATTTGGGCCCAACATAAAAAAGAGCTGGCATATTTGTGATACCCAGAAGACTTTGTGCAAAAGTTGCACAAAATAATCTCAGACACAGCTAGCATTTTCCTTGTGTTGTAACTGAAAAAAATGCCTCTCCTCTCCTCTCCTCTCCTCTCCTCTCCTCTCCTCTCCTCTCCTCTCCTCCTCAGTTCATTTGTTCATTTGTTCTTTCTTTTCTTTTCTTTTTTGCAGGAAAACCAAGGCCAAAAAAAGCTGTTGGGAAAACAGTCGCTTATTCCAAGGAGAACTCATCACATGTCAAAAGATCAGAAGCTGCTGAGGAACCAAATCAAGAAAAAGAAAAGGAAGGTGGAAGTGTTGAATTGGAGCCACTTGATTCTCTTGCAGAAGGAGACAGAGGTGTGAAACTTAATGAAGATGCTGATGATGCTGATGAAAAAGAAGAGAAAGAAGGTCTGAGAAGCCCTTCTGACCAAAGCCTCCCACCTTCCAGCCCTCCCGAGGAGGAGCAGCCCTTGCTGCTCGAGGGGAGACATCCTTTTACTGAAGGTGTTGCCCATACTTCTGGCTCTCCAGCTGGCCCTACCAATGGGCCACCTCTTCTCAGACCTCCAGCCACTTCCCCCACAAATGGCTCCCAGTCTGATGCAGTTTGGAGTAGTGGGCCTGCAGAGGTAAGGCTTGTCATTTCCCGAGAGCACTGCACTTAAGCCATTATTCTGGAACAACATATATGCAGTGGAGCTTCTCCCAAAGGGGCTCATGCTGGCTCATGCATGCTTCTTCCATTGTGAACTTGTAGATGTCACCCACAAACTGCAGACTCCAACTCACGCCTCTTATTCCATGGGAGGAAGACTGATTGGGCTCAGGCAGGGAAGGGCTGCCTTTTGGGAGGGGAAGGGCTGCATCCGTGCCTGGGCAGGTTGGAACCCTTCCATGCCGAACGGGCCAACAAAACTGAATCCCCCTGAGCTGATATTGCTCCTTGTCATTTTGCCTCCTGGTAGCTTACCAATGGCTCAACATGGCATGCTCTTTTCATTCAGCAACAGCTCTGCCACTTTGACATGCTGGGGGACATGCCGTTAAGGCAAGGCCTGCATTTATTTCTACAAAAGTCAGCCATCTCAAGGAATGCAGGCATCCCCTCCATTAACAACACCTGGGTCGAGCCTGTGATTGTGCTTGGTACAGATCCTTTGTCCCTTTCAACCACCCAGGATCTCCCCGTGAATAAAGCAGAGGGAAAACAGTCCCGGGAGAGGATCATCATGGAGAGGGCTGAGAAAAGGCGGCTGGCAGTAGAGAGAAAACGAAGGGAGCAGGAGGAGCTGAAGCGCAAGGAGCAAGAGAAGCAGGAGCGCGAGGAGAGGATGCGGGAGGAAATGGAACAGGAGCGGCAGAGGAGAGTGGAGGAGATGCGGTCAGTAGGAAGAGCCATCCCATTAGGCATGGGAAAGAACTGAACCCGAAGGGTTTCTTCTCATGCCACCTTCACCCTCTTCTTTCCCTCACAATGCTTCTTTAATCACAGAAATGAAGGCTTTTGCTACAGCAGTGGGTTGAAGCCTGCCCTCTGCCCCCTCTGCCAAAGAGATTCCCCAAACCCCTCTCTTGCTGCTTTTAGGTTCACAAAGGGGTACCTCTTCATTTTTATCTTTTAACAGTATTTTCTGTGCTTTCCTGCAAAGCTTTGTACTGAAGCAGGGAAAGTGCATTCTTTGCCAATGTAGACTTTCCTTGGTTGGTGCACACTGGAAAATACTGCTGCTTAAAAAAATGTGGCTGATGATATTTCCCTGCTGAAGTTGGTCATCAAGCACCAGACAGGCCCTGACTTCCTTCCTCAGAGCCGCTCTAGTCCCACACCTCCAAGGAAAAATAGAGAGGTGGGAAGGAAGGGACCTCCACCAGTTCTGTTCGTTGAAAACCCTCCATGAGGATAAGTGGCAGTAGTGTGAACTTTGCATGCATTCAAATGTATAGCACATCAAAATCAAAGAATCATAGAATAGTAGAGTTGGAAGGGGCCATGAAGGCCATCGGGTCCAGCCCCTGCTGCTGCAGGACACTAAGTTACACCATCCCACTCAGATGGCTGCCCAGGATATTTTTAAAAAATGAGATCTGTGTAGTCTGATTTCAGTGAGTCTATGCATGGTTAAAGCTGCTCTTTCATCTTGTTGATTTGTTAGAGTGCCATGTGCCTGCATGCACACACCTTCTCCTCAGGTTGTGCATCATCTGCTTGGACCTTTCTGACAGATGCTTCTTCCTTCTAGTTTAAAAAAGCTCCAGCTAGAAGAAGAGCGCCAGCGCCAGGAGGAGGAAGCAGCCAGCAGGCGATATGCTGAGAAGGCGGCCGAAGAACGTGTGCGGCAGCAGCAGGAGGAGCACCGCAGGAAGCTCCTCGAGATGCAGAAGAAGAAACGAGAGGAGGAGCAAGTGCGTGCAGGTGCGCTGCAGCAGGCCTGGGTGCCACCAGCAACACCAGGCCCAAAGGGGGCCTTGCTGTGAGCTGTTTTGGCAGCCATTTTGAATTTCTCAGTTGGTCATCAAGGACCCAACATAGTATCATTCTGGTCAATTAAAATGGCAGCCTCCACTCAGGTGGGGCTGCCATTTTTAATTCCCTACAGTTCAAAATTTTTAATTCCCTACAATGCTCTTGGCTGCCATTTTTAAATGTAAAGGGTTTTTTTTAAATATAGAGGTATAATACCAGTCAAGGTTCCAAAGCCACCCATGTTATCCTGTGTTCCACCTTTAACAAATACTCTGGCTGATTCATGAGCAACTAACATCTATGGCATACAGTTCAACCACAGATAAAGACTCCCCCAATCCACATCCCACTCCCACTCAAAAACAGGCAAAGACACAAATGATAGAGGAATGGGAAGAGAGGTGCAGAAAAGTGAAGACTGGAGAAAAGCAGAAAGGGGAAGGGGAGTTGAGTAACAGCTATATGTTACTCTGCTCTAGTTTAACTATTGAACAGTTCTAGGAAAGTGGCCCAAATGTTCACGCGTTTCTCACTAACCTCCTCTATTAAATGCCACTTTTTTTCTGAAGTAAGTTTTATTGTTATTTTTCTACTAACTAACAAAAAGAAACTAAAAATCATCAATCATCAAAAGCATCAGACCCACTGGGTCAGCCCCTTGTACTTTTTTTTTACAGTAATCCATAAACATACAAGTCTATGCATAGTCCCATTTCTTTAGCCAATAATAAAAGGAATTCCAAGTTTGAAAGAAGTCTGTATCCTCTTTCTCCTTCAGAGACAAAGTCAATCTGTCCATTTTGGCACAGTCCAAAATCTTTTTTAAAATCAATTCGTCGATAGGTGGTTCTTTACTCCTCCAATGTTGGACAAATGCAATCCTCATTGCAGTAATTACATGTAGAATCAAATACATTGCTTGATTATCAACATCGTTGGGTACAATGCCTAATAAGAAAACTTCAGGTTTAAATATTAGAGGTTTTTGTAACACTCTCTCAAGCCATTTATGTATTTTAACCCAGTATTTTTTTGCCTTGTCACAAGTCCACCACATATGATAAAAAGTACCCGGTTTATGTTTGCATTTCCAACATACATTTGACATATTTGGAAACATCTTAGCTAATCTATTTGGTGATAAATACCATCTATAAAACATTTTATACAAATTTTCTTTATATGAGGATGCTAATGTTACTATTTCTTTCCCACAGCTTTTGCTATTTCTTTAGTCCAATATTGTATCCAAAATTTTGTGCCCATGTTATCATAGTTTCCTTAACTTGTTCATCTTCCATTCTGCTATCCAAAAGAAAATTATGCAAACTTTTAATCATTTTCTCATCTGATTTCAAGATCACTTGGTCAAATGTTGTTAACTCCTTATAAAAACCCCATGTTTTATCATCTTTAACATCCGCAAGGTCCTCTTTCATTGAGTGGTGTAGTCAGAGATAACTTCTATCTTAATTTGCCATAATGCTCCAGAGTGACTCACTAACACTGTGTGTGGTGCATTCTGGGTCACTGTGGAAAATCTAAAATAGTGGCTTGTGGCTGTTCATGACCTGACTTAGGCCCAGTGACGGGGATCCTGATGCGGTGCTGGATACAGACAACTGGGTCTGCCTGGAGTTAAGGACCGGTCACTGGACTTCACAGGGACGAATCAGTGAATGAGGGATAAGTCCCCACTCCACCCCATGTAAAGAACCAGTTGGCAGTGGATATCATGGGCCATGACTCATGTTCGCTTTCACACCCCTTAAAACAGGGAGGCCTCACCCCAGCAGTCTCACACTCCTTCTTGGGTCTTCAGTGCCCCTGCATGCTTTTGTTTATTGGCTTTACTCACATCAGCTTCGTGCTTGCTTGCCTTCCCCAGTCAGGAAATTTTGTTTAGTTTCACTCTCCACTGTTGCTGTTTAAACACCTTTGGAGATGGAATTTTTGTCACTCACTTCGGCAACCTTCTCCAAGAGATTTCAGAAGACACTTCTTCTTAACATCTCAGCCTAAATCCTTGCATGGTTTGAGCCTGGTGTTGTCTCCCTGGGACCAAGTGCATTCGTTTTAAGGCAACCTTTCCTTTATTTGCCCACTATCACCACAGCCTCCTTTTCCAACCTGAGCAAATCCATCCTTGCCTCCTTGCCTTGTATCTCTGATTTTTCAGCCGCTCACTTGTATGCAGGGGTAGCGGTACCTTAAACCCATTGAGATCAATGGATGTAGCCATATCAAACTTTGCATGGAATCTGGTTGCTAAAATTCGTTCACATTTCCTGAAATTCTGCCTAGCCCTTCTGGCTTATCGGTTGGGTTTCCTCATTTTAATTTACTTATTGCATCTATATTTCATCTTCCCTTTAAGGGGTTCAGGACAGTATGAAAGGTCCACCAGCCACTGTGTGCAGGTACGCGTGTGCATGCACATGAGTGAGCTTCTTCATTCCATCTTCTCAACAACCCTGTGGTGTAAGTTCATGTGGACGGAGAGTGACCGATAGGAAGTCACCCAGTGAGCTTGTGCAGCCTGGATGGGGAATGGACATGGGCCTCCCAGCCGCATTACAAGTATCACACCACCCTCACTTGCTCACTGGCACACCTTTTCCCTTTTATTCCTCACATTTTATAACATAAGACCTTCTGCGCAAAAATGTAAAATGAGGTTTGTAGTAAATTTGCACCCAGTAACTGTGCACATTAGGCATGCCTGAAATATTGCATTCTAATAGATTGGCTTAGGTAGGCAGGTAGATGATAGATAGATAGATAGAGCTTTAAACAGAGCAGAAACTAAATTGATAGAATTCTGATAGATGGGGACAGTGAGGCAGCTCAGCAGCAGAGTGCTTGCTCTGCTTGTTGAAGGTCCCAGACTCAATCCCTCGCCTCTCCAGGTGAGGCTGGAAAAATGACCCCACCAGAAGCCCTGAGGAACTCCTGCTGCCAGCCAGTGATGGCAATGCTGGGCTAAAGGGACCATGCTCCCTCCCTCCCAAGGTGGCAAACCAGCATCAACCATTTGAACGCCGGTGGAGGGGCTGCTGGTGGCTGTCACAGATGGCGAGTCCCCCAGGTGTGACAAGAGGGGGATGCTGCTCTTACTGAGCAGTTTCATAGCTGCTTCCCCAGGGGAATTGGCCTTTCAGGTTCACATGACATGGCAACCCATGGTGGGTCCAACAAGCCATGGGTTGTCAGGGCAGCTTGTTGCCCAGAAACAAACCACCCTGTAGGAAATAGTCTGGGTTCAGATGACTTGACACTCCATTGTGACAAGTTATCCATGATGGGTTGCCATGTCATGCAAATTTAGCCTCTTGTGTTCCTATTGGAGTAACTAACAACTGTCTAACAATCTGTTCCTTAGAAGCAGAAAAACTCAGGCAGAAAGAAAGGGAAATGTGGCTAAAAGAAGAACAGCAACGCTTAGCTGAGATGGCAGAAGAGCAACGGCTGGAGTACGAGAAAAGGAAACAGGAAGAAGCAGAGAAGGCAAAATGTGAGGCCGAGGAGCGAAGGAAGAGAGAGGAGGAAGAGGCTAGAATTGCTTTGGAGGAAGCAAAGAAGCAAGCATTATTACTAGCAAGGTATGCAGCTTAATGGGAGGAAGGAATTGTTCATACCAAATTATGGCACATTAGTGGTTGTCCGATATCAGGTGCTGGCCTGGTAGAGGATTGCTGTGGCTCGGCAGGAGAACAAGCAGGGCTGATAAATATCTGTCTGAAATTCTGAGAAGCTGCTGCCAGTCAGTGTAGCTCATACGGAGTTTGATGGGCCAGTGAAGTGAAAAAATGCGGTCGCAGCAAAAACGTTGGTTGTGCGTCCAAGTCGAAGAGAGTACATTACAGTACAGCCTTGCTTGCACTTGCTGATGGCGAAGGTGCCTTTCGGTTTTCCATGTGGCATGTTTGATGTTCCTGCTGCCAATTGTGAACCGTCATGTGGTGTTTTGGTATGAGATAGCAGGACAGAGAGGCAGTGTCAGCGTGGCAACCCATGGAGATTGGAGTGCTGCAGCCCACTGCATTCTGCATGAGGCTACCTTTGAAGAGCCTCCCAGAACTCCGGTTTGCCCAGAATGCAGCCAGGGGGTGCTGGCCCTCAGGAGCCTGCTTTGCCTCTTCTAAATATTTGGACTTCGGACTCCTTTCTGGGCATAATTCCAGATGCTGGTGACAGCCATTCAAACGCTGAATGGGGCCCAGACCTACAGGACTTGCCCTCCCATATGGCCCAGCCGTGCCCTCTAATCCCTTGGGGAAGCTCTGTTGCAAGACCAGAGGTGGCTCAGGCACAGCTGGTGGGAACATGGGAAAGGCACGTTATGACAGCTATGCCTGGCTTAGTAATTCCCTGCCATGTGGGCAAGTGGGCATCTTCCTCCTTGCCTTCTGGCTGGCTAAATCTGACCTGCTGGGTAGAGGAGTTGCTGTTCTTAATCTGTTGTATCTACACCTGTTCTAGTCTTGACTCTTTGGAAGACTATATTATTCAGTGAAGACAATCATGCTAGGAAAATAGAAGGCAGAGAAGGGGAAGACCAACTAGGAGATGGATGAATTCCATAAAGAAGCCACAGCCTTGATTTTACAAGAGTCGAGTTGTCGAGAACAGGACATTTTGGAGGGTGCTCATTCCTAGGGTCAGCATAAGTCAGAGATGACCACAAAAACACATGTTTGTGTGGGGGTGGGAAGGGAGCCTATTATATAAACGAATATATACTTTATTTTTTTCAGGCAAAGGGCAGAGTTGGAGAAGCAACAACAATTCCAGTATAAGCTTCTCGTAGAAGCCAGTGGATTGGAACGAGGGCAGGTTATTTCTCGTCCGTGGGTTTATTCATATTTCCAGCATCCTTTTATAAAGGTGGGAGATGACGATTAAAGAACACTGCAGTGGGCATTTCCTGAGAACACAGGAAGAAAGCTGTGACTTTGTAATCCTACCCCAGCCAGTGGGCATCTTAGGATCATCCAATTCTCTTCAGTCAGTCTGACAAGAGGATTTTCTATCAGGCTTCCAGAGAGCACAGCTCCATTATGTCCTGTCGATTTAGAAACCAAGCAAGAAAACATGAAACTATATCCAAGCCCCATTCTAGCAACCAAGAGTAGAAGAAATGGCTTCTTCTGCAGCCTGAGTTTTGGATATCCAGACAGAACAATTGAAAGAAGCTTGGAGATTCTATCTGCATTAAAGAAAAAGGGCTTTTTATTCAACAGGCTCTGGGGCATGTAAGTGGTTCTGTTTCGCTGGATGCTATTCTTATTATCATTGTTTTGAGAGAGGGAGAGTTTGCATCCACAGATTCTTCCGTGTGCACTCTTATTCCTGCATTAGTAAAATAGCTTTCTTGCAGTGAATTCCTCTGAGCGCAAACAGTTGTCCTCTGCTGTCATGTTTTAGGCTGTTAAAGAAAAACAACATTAAGCCTCCGGAGAACTGGGAGTCCTTTCTCTGGGGTGCTTGAATAAACTCAGCCTACAAGCAAGGGAAGTTGTGGTTCTTCCATCAACTTTCAAGTGAGGTAGTGATAGAGGCCAATGGAAGGTTTCAGAGATCAACTCCTACTCATATTCTAATCCATGTACACTGTTCAGAGTGTTCACTAAAGAACAGTTTATAAAAATTTTAACTATTTGAGATTAAAGTTCAATCAATTCAAGTTTTACAAACACCAGGTAAGTGCTGCTGAGAAATAACTGCATGTGGTTTGAATGGGGGGCAAGGGGCAGAGACTATGCCTTCCCTCTGTAAATGGCAAATACTTTTTTCTGGAACAACTGAACCAAGTTTTTTAAATTTAAGAAAACAGAATCAAAGAGTAGACATGTTTTCAAGAACTGCAGTAAAAAATCTTCACTTTCACCCCCTAAAGCATGGGGGTGGTACTTCTGGACTACCAGAACAGAAAAAAATCACATACTTTCTAACAGGAATGGTCAGGTTGAGATGTTCAATTGTTGTTGAGATGAGGTTGCAAATCTATTCACGAAGATTGCGAAGTAAGAGTACTCCACCTACATCCCAAACTCTTACGAAGCACCAAATTGTGGCAACTAAATCGTGAAAGGATACAAAAAGCATGGAGCTCAGGAATGCCCTAAATCCATACCAGTTGGAAGAGCTATTAATCCAAGTGGATGTTTCGTTATGAATTGATGAAGGAGTGATGTGCAAAAGGATATGCCTGACTAAAACACATTTTCACTCAGTTTTGCACTCAGCTTGATTACTCTTGTAAGCATAGATAACACTTAACCCCATATGCTGATTTTTGAAAACAAATTTTAATTTTTAAAAAAAGTTTAGCATGTGTACAAAAAGGCATCAGAAGTGGGACATGGAAACTACAAGCATTGGAAAAGGTCCATTTAACACTTTACAATAAGTGCCAGCTTCAAGAAAAAGTTAAACTCACAATTAAATGGTTTGTTAAAACATGCTTAAGAACATTGCAGTCTCAATTTCTGTTATTTTCCCACTCCCCTTGCAAGAAAAAAAAAGCAGAGGTAGAGCAATGTGTCTCTAATCCTGTCATCATACTGTAAACCTGAGCTAAAGACTCCTTCTAGCATGACAGGTTTTCTATGACACAGTTCTGCAATTTACTAAAAAATAGGTATGGAGGTTGAGAATGTTGGGTTAGACAACCAATTAGGAAACAAGGTTTCCTTTAAAATGGGAACAGCCCTCATTTCAGAATACTACTTCACAAGAAACTCCACAAAAACCAATGAATAGTTTTTATTTCAGAAAGTTGCTCTAACCACTTGCTATTAACTTTGGGACAGCATCAGATTGGTAAATATTTTCAGAAGTACCTACAACCTAAGAACACGTACATAGACATGAGCTCCATGGTAATCCATTAGGCTTTCTTCAGCATACACAGAAACAGGATTTGGTGCAACCTCTCCAGTCCTGATCCTACTGAAGTCAAAATGGTGAAGAATGGACTTCAAAGGATGAGGAACTCAATCTTAGGTCTGTGCTTTTGCATGTGTCTCTGGCCCTGGTCACACTAAGCTTCCATTAGCACCTAGTACAGTTCATGCACACAACTTATTTTTGTTTCCACAGAATATAGTTTCTGATGAACTACCTCGCATTTCCAAAGCTAGACACTCAGGCCCCGATAGAAATTTATTTATGATTAAGTTGCATTTACATCAATGGGGGAAGTTTGTGATAACTAACCTGAGCCTCGTCACTGGGCCTACTCTAACCTTCACTGAAGTTGAGACCCTGGTGTGTCGTGACAGTTTTTACCCCTAAAGAAAATGTGCTTACAAGGTACAATCCTATGCAAGTTTAGATAGACAAAAGGCAGACTCCTGGGCTAGCTGTGGCACACTGCAGGGTTGCAGCTCTGTTTTCTCTCAAAGTTGGTGTAGGATTGCACCCTACCTGTTCAAGGTAAGAGGTTAACAAATCTCCTAGATGTTCTTGTATCTATGTTTACAAACTTTATTTTTCAATTTTAACATTAATGCTCAGGATTCAGGAGGCATACATTGCATGTACAACACATGTTAATTGCTTGAAATTCTGCTACTTAAAAGTTGATAGCAAGCAGCAAAGAGGCCACTAGTTCACAAGATTTATCAAACGTTAAAAGCCTATTTTAAAATTATAATATTCTCAAATAATATGTGAAACCAATTTTTTAACATTCTTCACTGCTTTTGCTCAACAGTCTCTCAGCTTCAGAAATATCAAAAGAAAATGCAAAAGTTTATAAATTTGTTTCCTCTCATTTATTTAAAGGAAAATCAGTACAGTCTATCTCCATTCAAAACGCATTATCTTGGGCCAAAAGGTACAACCATGTAAAAATCGTTACCAACTCTTGGTACATGAAGGTGTGTATTAAGCACTAAAAATTAGAACACTCCTAGGCTCACCTAAAATCAGAAGAATTTTCCATGTTATCTTCAGTGAAGACATTTCAAATATATTACCAAAAACGACGACTTTTCCCCATCAGGTTCTGAATATTTTCTGTCCTAATCCATCAGCAAAAGCTACAGAAAACAGTTCTTAATTTGAGGACACAATTCCATTGTTTAGATTTCAAAAAAGCTTCATCTCCTTTGTTTCTTAAAAGTCACAAGTAAAAGTCACACATCATAATATTAGGAACCTTTGCCCACCTGGCAGATCTGTTAACGTGCTTGAATACATGAGCCTTGTCAGCACACAAATGCATGTGTAGGTGGGTGAGTGGGTGTATTTCTAAAGAGGAAACAGGAAGAAAAGGGAAGTACAACCGCAGCGAGATCACAAGAGTTCGGCACAATGAAAACAAACGGTAGTGTATAATGAGCACAAGAATTCAGAACAGACATTTGGAAATAACGCTCCAGATATGGGAGTGGGGTGCCAGTTTCAATTCAGTGTTTTATACCACATTACAAAAGAACTATTATTTAAAAATAAAAAAGGATAAAAGGGGGAGGGAGGAAAAAGCAAACAATCTAAATTGTTGAATGGCCTCCTGTCTGTTCCTGATAAACTTCAATCACATCTTCCTCTTCCATCCCAAGCTGCAAAAGAGGAAACATGGCAGATGTAAACACAACCACATATCATTAGCAGCTTTACATGCACAGTACTGCATTTAATTTTCTGTTGTGGCCAAAAGCTGTAAGAGCCAGCAAGTAAAGACTGGTTATGCAATAAACCATTTCAGCAGGTATCAGGGTAGACTGATCTAAGCCATGCTGAAACTCCTGGGAGAGACAATCCAGGGGCCTGGAGTTCACTGCCTCCACAAAGTTAATAGCACCAATTCTTATCCTTTGTACCTAATGCAAGAAACAGTTCTTGTTCTATCTTAGTGCCTGATGTTGGTAATGGTCTAGATGAGGGCGAACAATTGCAAGCTTAATCAGAAGGGCTTTTGGTCTGTCACAGGAAGATAAAGGAACAGATTCAACATGTGCTATATGGGGTTACACTTGCCCTGAAGACTTAGGTTCACACTTGGTGTGTATGTGGTGTGTCCAGAAAGTAATGAGAATGAAGCCCCTACACTCAAGAAGGGCTCTGTGAAGGGAGAACCTGGTCAAGGTCACTTGGGGTGGGGTGCCAGGTATACGTTAGGACACGGATCAGTTCCATTCAAGCCCTGTTAAGAGTCGAGACATTCTCTTTTGTGACACCCTTTTCAAGTGCCTCATATTAAGAAAAATGCAAGTGAGTTTGGAACAGCACTACGCAATAAAATTGTGTGAAATTGGATAAAAGTGCATCAGAAACTTTGGAAATGGTGAGGAAAGCTTATGGAAAAGCACTATCATCTGCACAAGTGTACCGATGGCACAAGTTGAGATCGGCTCAACTTGGATCCTTCATCATGGCAATGCACCGAGTCTCAGTGCTTTGGCATCACAGTGCTTCCCCATCCACCCTACAACTCCGACTTGGCTCCTTGCACCTTTTTCATCTCCCCAAAGTACCAAAGAATGATGTGAAGGGACACCATTTTGGTAGTGTGGATAGTGTGGATGCCGGCTCTGAATGCCATCCCACCTGAAGACTTCCAGGAATGCTACAAAGAATGGAAAATTTGCTGGGAGCATTAGGTACATTCATAAGGTGCAGACTTTGAAGGAGACAACGTTCAATTGTAAAATTTTTCAATAAAAGAATTTTTAAAGTATCATTCTCGGTACTTTCTGGACACACTTCCTATGTCTGGATTTAGCCTTAACCCTGGACGCTCAGGTTTTGTGGTGGCCAGGAAGGTACTCCACAACTGAGGCTGGTTTACTAATTGCATCTGTCCTTAGAGAGGAGTGACCTGACCACAGGCATTCTGTCTGGTCTATGTAAGGCTACCTTCAAAAACCGCTCAGAAATTTCAGCTAGTCCAGAATGCTGCAGCCAGACTGCTGTTCAGGAGAAACTGCAGGCAGCTTTGCAATTTACCCATCTGTTTCCAGGCAGAATTCAAGCTGATGGTTATGCAGCTTGGGAATGAGTTATCTAAAAGACTGCCTTCTCCCATACATACCTGCCCAATTCTTAAACTTTTCTGGAGACCAATTCTTTCAAGACCACCCTCAGCAGACCCCCTTTTGTGGTGACCCAAGAGAGCCTTTCTCATAGCCAACTCCCTCCCAAGGGAAGCTAACTTTGTTCCCTTCTCTGCTTGCAGACACAGACTGCTTTGCTCAAGAAGACTTTTGGCCTGTAAGTGGGTCTAGTGATTGGATGCTGTTTTAATTCTGCAATTGCTATGTTTTGTTGTATTTATAATCCATTGGTTAATGTGCTGAGTAACACCCAAAGCTGCCCAGAACGTAATTTCAGAATCCAACAAACACAGAATTCCCACATCCTGTTTCCAAACAGTTTGTGCTGGTAAAATTGCTCAGTATGAGAAACTCACCTCCTTTGGAGTATGATTATCAGTAATTCTCTGACCCTCAAAGAGGAACCTGAGTGAATTCATTGGAACTCCCTCAAAAAAACAAAACAAAAAAAAAAGGGGGGGGGGGGAGAGATTTATTTCAATCTTTAGAACTTCAAAGAAAAACCTCACAAAAAACACAACAATGAACAAAAAATTACAGATCTCAATTACTGTCTGATATCCAAACGCACACCTGGTTTGCAGGTAAATCACTTGGTTCTTTCACCCCTAAACAGCCCAGTGGTCTAGGTCTGCACATTATGCTCAACAACCTATGAAGAAGCCAATCACGGGTTGCAGAGCGCAAGTGAAAAGGGGGTGCTCTCCTGTTCATGCCTGACAACCCACTGGCATTTAAACCAATTTCCTGTCATTACATCCAAGCTGGCACACTCGCACACACGTGCTTTACAGCCCTCTAAATTAAGTGAAGAGTTACAAGTACTTGCAAATATAGTTTCCATGCTTTTTGACATAAATCATAGTTTAGACGTTAAACCTTTCAAGCAAGCAATAAACATACTCCCCAGTTGGGCATGCTTATAACTTAGGCTCCATACACCTATGCTTTACCTTGGTGTCTCAATCCCAATCCACACTTTAACTTTTGCTGTTTTAATTATGTTACTATTTATGTTACAAGGGAAGATATGGCGTTGGGGGTTTGACATGTTGGCACAGAAGGAGGAGGGACAGATGGTTGATACCTGTTCCTCCTTCTGGTTATTCCTTCAACCAGAAGGTTCCGGGTAAGCTTATCAACCGCCCCTCGGGCCTGACGGTGTTGCTGCTTACTGCCAGGTCAGTCCATAATAAAACATCCCTCATCCACAACTTAATTGTGGCTGAGGGGACCAACCTGGCTTGCATTACAGAGACCTGGGTGGGAGAGGGTGGGGATGTAGCCCTCTCTCAGCTGTGCCCACCCGGGTATCTAGTCCAGCACCAGTCACGTCCGGGGGGGGGGGTCGCTTTAATTCACCGAGCCTCTATTTCCCTCACGGAGCTTCCTGTTCCCCTCGAGACCAGGTCTAGAGTGCTTATACCTGGCACTGGGCGATCGAGACAGATTGGGGATTCTGCTGGTGTACCGTGCACCCTTCTGCCCATCAGACTCTCTGCCTGAGTTGACGGAGATCGTCTCGGACCTGGTGTTGAAGACCCCTAGGATGTTGGTCCTGGGGGACTTCAATCTCCATGCTGAGACTGTTCTGACCGGGGCGGCTCAGGACTTCATGGCCTCCACGACGGCCATGGGGCTGTCTCAACATGTCATAGGCCTGACCCATGAACATGGTCACATGCTGGACCTGGTTTTCTCGACGGGGCAGGAAGAGGGTGATTTGAGGGTGAGGAATTTGCATCTGACTCCCTTGTCATGGTCAGATCACTTCCTTGTGAGGTTGAGCTTAGAGCTGGCCTTTCCCTCTGTAAGAGTGTGAACCCTATTGTGATGGCCCACCCTCGGAGCTGGATGGATTCCTGAGGGCTCTGGGGGATTTTCCTGTTGATAAAGCTGGCGCTCCTGTTGATGTTCTGGTTGAACTTTGGAATGGGGAAATGGCCAGAGCGATTGACACGATAGCTCCTAAGTGTCCTCTCCTGCCAAGCAGAGCCCGTCCATCTCCATGGTATACTCATACATCTGAATTACGGACGATGAAGCGGGTTGGGAGATGACTAGTGCATAGGTGGAGGAAATCACGGGATGAATCTGACTGAACACGCTTACATGTTCATTATCAAGCCTATGCTGTTGCGGTGAGGGCGGCAAAGAAGAAATTCTTCTCCACTTCCACTGCCTCCTCACAGTGCCGTCCAGTGGAGCTTTTCTGAGTGGTACATGGACTGATATACCCCGGCTCTAAGAAAGATCCTGTACCACCATCGACGGCCCGCTGTGACGACTTTGCCCAGCACTTCAAGGAGAAAATCGCTCAGATTCGTCACTAGCTGGACTCCACAATTGATTCAGATCCCTTAGGGAAGACACCAATGACCCCGTCTGGTCAGTTATTAATGGATGGATTTCAGTTAATGCGGCCCGATGATGTGGACAAGGTGCTTGGACAAGTATGTCCTACCACCTGCTTACTCGACCCTTGCCCTTCGTGGCTGCTGACCAAAGCCAAACACGGGATTGGTTCCTGGATCCCGGAGGTTATTAACACCTCTTTGAGGGATGGCTGGGTGCCCGCTCCTTTAAAGAAGGCAGTAATCAGGCCTGTCCTAAAGAAGGTGTCTCTGGATCCAGAGATGGCCCCCAATTATAGACCGGTGGCCAAGTTTCCATTTTTGGGCAAGGTGTTGGAACGGGTGGTGGCGGGACAACTCCAGGTACTCTTGGATGAAACTGATTATCTGGATCCATTTCAGTCTGGCTTCAGACCCGGGTACGGCACTGAATCTGCCTTGGTCGCCCTGTATGATGACCTATGCAGGGAGAGGGACAGGGGGAATTCGTCCATGTTGGTTCTCCTGGACCTCTCAGCGGCTTTCAATACCATCGACCATGGTATCCTCCTGGACAGGCTGGCAGGACTGGGAGTAGGAGGCACTGCTTGGCAGTGGTTCCGCTCCTACCTTGAAGGCCGATTCCAGAAGGTGGTGTTGGAGGACTTTGGCTCTGTGCCATGGCAACTTTGCCATGGAGTACCGCAGGGTTCCATATTGTCCCCCTTGCTATTTACTATCTATATGAAACTGCTGGGAGAGGTCATCGGGAGGTTTGGGCTGCGGAATCATCAGTATGCTGATGATACCCAGTTCTACCTCTCTTTTTCAACCAATCCAGGTGAGGCAGTGGCTGTACTGAACCGGTGCCTGGCTGAGGTAATGGGCTGGATGAGGGCCAATAAACTGAAGCTCAATCCAGATAAGACAGAGGTTCTGTTGGTGGGTGATTCGAGCTCCTGGGTAGGTGACTTGGGCCTTGCCCTGGATGGGGATGCACTCCCTCTAAAGGAAAGTGTCTGCAGCTTGGGAGTGCTCCTCAACCCGGAGCTGTCCTTGGAAGCCCCAGTGACAGTGGTGGCGAGGAGCACTTTCTTTCAGCTTTGGCTAATCTATCAGCTGCGTCCCTACCTGGAGGAAGTTTGCCTAGCAACAGTACCACATGCATTGGTTACTTCCCGGTTGGATTTCTGTAATGCACTTTACGTGGGCCTGCCCTTGAAGACAGTCCAGATACTTCAGATGGTTCAAAATAGAGCTGCCAGGATGCTGTCAGGGACTGGGTGTTATTCTCATATAACCCCAGTCCTCTATCAGCTCCATTGGCTTCCCATCGAAGTCTGGGCTCAATTCAAGGTGCTGGTTATTACCTATAAAGCCCTAAATGGCTTGGGACCAGGATACCTAAAGGAACGCCTTTTTCCCTATTTGCCCCCTGGTCCCTGAGATCGGCAACAGAAGCCCTCCTCCGGGAACCCTCTGTGAAAGATGTTAGGAGACAGAGTACCCAGAGGAGGGCTTTCTCTGCGGTGGCGCTCCGACTGTGGAATGCGCTCCCCAGAGAGGTCTGCCTGGTGCCATCATTATATGTTTTTCGATGCCAGGTTAAGACTTTTTTTATTTAATCAATATTTTAATATGTTTTAATATTGAATTTTATTAATGTATTTTATTAATTTGCAGCCAGAGTGGGTCGTCAATTTATTTATGCTGTTAGCCATCCAGAGATGTTAGTAATTGGACGGCATACAAATTTTATTAATAAATAAATAAATAAATAAATAAATAAATGTTTATCTAGTAGCATTTTGTTGAATGACCTGGCATAACTGAAAACACACACAACTCTTGCAAAGCACAAACATGTTTAGGTTTTTGATCCATGTTCTTAAGGGATATTCCAATTGCCACTATTTACTGAAAATGTGTTTTTACACCTAGAAGACATACTTTGGTTCTTGAGTTCATTTCATTCAAACAGCTGATCACCCTCCAAAAATACTTAGAATAGTTTAGGAAAAACTAATAACAAAGTATACCCAAAAATGCTGTAGAAAAGGCTTCAGACCAGAGAAGTAGCCATGACTTGAAATACGAAGCAACTATCAGAGTGTGCTCCTATGTTAAAAGGCAGTGGGGCTTGCATCCAGAGATGTCCTTGCATGAGCATAATGGCACTTCTGCTTCCACAAGGCAGCCCCACCCAACTTCCCAGACTTTCTCTATCTCCCTTCTGCTCATTGCACTTTCAGAGGGTCTGCTGATCTTTGGAAGTGGCTTTTGGTAGAAAGAGCCAGAGGGCTGTAATGCAGGGGAGATGGAACCAAGAAAGTCTCATGCTGTAAACAGAATTCCACAAATTCATTTCTGGAACCAACAGGCTACAATCTTTGCAAAGTTTTGGTGAGTCATGCAATCATTTCAGCTGTGAGTCAGTTGGATTCCTTTATCAACAGGAATATTTTCAAGTGTGCAAACTTCCAGGGAAGAAGTATAACTCTCCTGTGGATATTTTCTAAAACAGACTGGGCAAGCAACTGCTGGGGACTGGTTAGCCCATTCTACATTAGGGTGGTGGGAGCTGTATGTCAGAGCTCTGAGAGAGATGGTGTAAGCTTTCCCAGTGCACCTTAAAGAGTTTTAGGTATGCACATTGATGGAATCGTTCACCCTTTTATATTTGTGTATAAAAGAGAATAAATAATCATATGACCTTTCGCTAACATGACAAAAGTCTAACTTGGTCAAATTTTCTCATACAATTTTAAATGGTAAAGAGTCCTCCAAGCCTTGAGGGCCTAGCAACATTATGTCTCTCACCTGCTTGGCTTGGAATTCTCCAGCTTCCAAAGCTCTGTTGTCTTTTTTTAGCGCACTTAAAAAATTTCTACCTCCCTAGTTGTTATATGAAAGTTGTCTGAAGTCTCACTTTACTCTGCATTTCCTTTTTCCAACCCCATACCTCCAGTACTCATGCTTGCATTGCCTCTACCAGCAGTTCTGCCATCTTATTTCAGCCAACCTTTGAAATCCTGCCCATAACTTTAGTACCTCCAGGAACTCCTATCCCCTCTTCAGCTTCCCATCAAGTAATCTTCCTACCTGCAATTCATACACTCTCTAGAACAGGAGACTGTTTTGTTGGACATTTAAAAAAAATCTATGTTGTGCAGCTTTATTTTTGATTGGAAGCTACCTTGAATATTTTACAGAATGGCACAGTGTACAGGTTGAAAATTAATCTGTCCCTCACTTATCTTAGAGCAGTTGGGCTATTTGTAAAATTTCTTATTGAAAGTTCCATTCCTGCAACAGCGAAGAACAGTGAATATATGTGAAGATTCCCTGGCCTCTGAAGAGCTCAGCCAATCCCTACCAGGATCATCATTATAGATATTATTCTATAGTATAGTATAGTATAATATAGTATAGTGTAAAAGTATAGAATAATATCTATTCCTATTTTATCAACCCAATTCCTCTTCTTTTCATAGAACAGAAAGAACAGGTCGCAAACTCCACATTGGGTGGTGGCTGCAATTGTGGCCATCTCCCGCAACCCCCCCAAGTGGGGAGATGGCCACGATCATGCTGCGGGCAGGGGGGAAGTGGCCAAGATCACGCCTGTCTTTCCTGCAGGAGCGCAACTGCAATCTCGGCCATCTCCCTCCCCAGCATGATCGCGTCCATCTCTCCCCCTCCAGCGTGACCGTGATCTAGGCCGTCTCCCCCACCGCCAGTATGCCAGGATGGTGGATGTGTGCAGGGATGCTAGGGGGTGGCGGGGAGATGGCCGCAATCTTTGTTGTTGTCACTTTGCCTCACATTTTTCTGATTAAAAAAAATAGTTATGGAACGGATTAACCTTATTTAAATTGAACCTTGTGGGGAAATTTAACTTGGCTCATGACCAATTTGGATCAAGACCAGAGTCCTGGAACGGATTAAGTTCATGAGCCAAGGTACCACTGTAGTAGGTATGGTATAGTATGGAATAGAATAGAATAGAATAATATCAATTCCTGTTTTATCTAGCCAATTCCTCTTCCTTTCATAGAACAGAAAGAATTCAAGTTCATTTAAAAAAAGAATGGTCAAGTTCCTCAATTCCACCAACCTGTCTCTGACAGTATGATTCTTTAAGTTTTTTTAGATGCGTTGTCATTTTCACCTTGAAGTGGATTTCGCTGCTGTCCTACAAAAGAACACAAACAGTATTAGTGTCCTCTGCCTATTATAGAGGCACTTCTTTTCTTCAAGACAGCAATTTCACAATGGAAAATTATCCTTGCTAATTTTCCTGAATTCTTGTTCCTCCCATGTGCTTACATCAGGGGCTAACAAATAGTCTAATTTGACACAGAAATTTATTTAGTTGTTTAAAATGGATGGTCTGCTTTATTAAATATTTATTTTAAATGTTCTAATGTCAGCTTTATTGAAAAAAAAATTGTCCTATGTTCACCACCTCTGGTTAATGCAAATAAAATACTACAATCAACAACTTATGCCAGACACAAATACAACCTGAATTATCTACTTAAAATCAGACTTCACATGTTAATCTACTGTCATACCATCCAATCCAGTTGCCCACTCAGAATGGCAGTAGCTATTTATGTTTTATTCACTTATAACAATTCCTATGCTGCTCATGAACGTAAAGTTATATGGGCAGCTTGCAAATAAACCATAAAGAATAAAAACAAAAAGGAGGCATAAAAACTTAAGACAGTTACAACAGTCTCAACATCAAATCAGCAACAGAAAATGACAATAGTGCAAAGAAATTAAAAGGTAGTAAAACCAAAAAAAGCCTGGGAAAATAAGAAAGTATTCACCTGACAGAGAAAAGACCACAATATCCCAGTCTATACCAGTGGTTTTCAGACACTGGTCCACAGAAGATTTCCTGCCAGTGGGGGGTGCATCCCACTCTGCAGACTGGTGTGGGGGCTGGCTATGCTCCACCACCTTTTCCTTGGCTGGCATCGTGTGTGTTGGGGGTGCACCAGTGCCGCTGGGGGGACTAGGGAGGGAGAGATGGCTCGGTGGGAGCTGGCTGGGAGCCACACCGCATCAATTCCAGTATTTTGTTCTTTTGTTGGCATTTTTTCTTGCTTGGTTTCTTCAGAGATTTTTCATTTTTTTGGTATTGTGTTTGGAAACTAACACAGAGTATGCTGTATTATCTGTATGATACTTTTTGTTTCTGCCTCAGTAGTCATGAGGCAGTTTTCCTGTCTTTGCCAGTCTCCAGCTGTGGAAAGGTTGAAAACCACAGCTCTATACCACACCAGCTTTCATGGGGGAGCACTCATATCATATCCGTCTTTATTTATCATGTATGTCTTTATTTACTACATTTTTATCCTGCTTTTCAGACAGCTATTGTCACCCATATTGGTTCACACCAGTGAGAAGAAAACATGAGAGGTCCTGCTATCAAGCTTAAAACAAAGAGAAGGGAAGGAGAGTGGAGGTAAAGAGCACAGGATCAGCTTGCCAAGGCCAGAACAAGATGGCGAGCTATCTTGAAGCACTTGAAATGCCATCCACCTCAGACTGCTCTTCCCTTGCTAATGTTCATGTTTGACCGAGGCTCTTATTCAAGAGCTGGGGCTGCAGCGTTCTTTCCTCTCCTTCTGCAATCCCTGCAGAGCAAATACCTGTGGGAGCAGAAGGTTCCCTCTGGGAGGGACAGGGAAGCGAGATCCCTGTAACTGCCCCTTCCCTGGCTGAAGGATGGGCAGGCTGGTCTATCCCTTGGCTTAGTGTTATCTCTGGAAAGCAGCGCTTGCTGCTTCCCAGTGGCCCTAGGTCCACTGGTTTAGAGCAGAAGCCAGAACATGCTTCCATTCTGCTCTCCAGCCCTGGGCAACATCCCCACATGGTTATGATGCTCTAAAGATGGTGAAATTAGGTATGCATGAACCAAGAAACACTGACTATTACAGAAGTTCAAAAACTGCTTACAGTAAATGTTCAAGACAAGACATTGCATTTACCTCATAGGAAAGGCTATTGCTCCATCACAGATAAGACAGGTCATATGTGAGATGGCATATTGAGCTGTAAAAAATTCATCCCCCGCCTTTGCATGTTTAATTGCAAATTGGTTTTTAATTGCAAATCTGGCTTTAACTGAAGAAAGAGTATCTTCCTGTAGTAGCCACTAATGCTTGCAAATAAAAACGTTGTTTATTAGCATATACATGCTCCAAGAGCAGGCATGAGAGTGACAACTAAGCTAGAAGAAGTGGATCTAACCGTAGGCTTATGCCAAGAAATTATGACATATCCACATTAAATTGAATACAGAAGAACTCACCTGCCCGATGACCTTGAGCTTGATGTATTCTCCCTCCTTCTTGTCCCCCAAGTCCTCTGCTGAAGGTTTAGCTTCCTGTAGCAATAATGAAAAGAAAAACATGAAAGATAATGTTAAATTCTACAGGGTCTTCTTTCATATTTAACACAAATATTCCCCTGAATAGACAGAATATCATGAAAGATTAGGAGAGGAGGAATTAACCATGCTGTACAGAAACTACATGATGTATTAATTACTAACTGTTAAGAGTAAAAAAATCTGTCACCCAGATCAAAAGACAATTTAGTACTAACTGGCCTCATGGCCAATATTGAAAGAACCCCAAATCGCCAAATACCTTTCATTACTTTTATTCATTTCTGGCTGAAGAGAAAAATGTTTGACCAAGCTAATAGTTGGACAGTTTCAAGTGCTGCTAATAAATTCATCATTTTGGGAATACTTATCCTCCATAACATGGGCCCTCAAACTACAGCCTGTGGGCCGGATTTGGCCTGCCATGCCCATTTATCCGGCCTGCCTCAGTGGTTTTGGACTTGCTCGCTCGGAGAAAACAATCTCCACACAAGCAAGCCACTGCCTCACCGTGTGCGCCTGCCCCCACTTCGCCTCGCCACGCATGTGCTCCCCACCCTCACTGGCCTGCACCTGTGGCCGGCACCGCCTTGTCGGCCTGCACCCACTGCCGGCACCTTTCAACTGGTCCCCTGTTGAAAAAGTTTGAGGACCCCTGCTCCGTAAGATAAACCATCTGGAAGCTGGGAAAAGCAATAATCATCATTAAAAGAAAAAACCAACAGAGATCTTCCTAAGATGCACAATCCTCTTCTGTGGAGGGAAACAAAAATTTATATTTAGATGCCCAAATTACATGGAACATAATGCAAAACTATGACAGATGTTCCAGATATGCACGCTTTTCACATGGAAAGAAATTTTGATATGGACACTTTCAAACAATCAAACAAATCTTTCTGTGCCTTCTCAAGTGATACAACTGTGAGTGCAGATTCTGTCATGACAGGAAGAACTATGAAGAAACTGATGTACAAATTAGTTTTGTAAGGTGCTGCAAGCTACTGCAGAGGATAAAACAACCAATCCTACCCTACCAAGCTGCATAGAGATATAGACTGAAATAATGTTTCTCCTTTGTGTTACATAGAAGGGAGAGGAGCTCTTCCAATTTATCAGGATATACTTGATGGCATGTATACATAGATATAAAATTCAGGTTATTTTATGGTAACAACTTCACAAAGGAGAAAAGACACGTTTTAATAATGAAAATCAATTTGTTATAACAACACCTGAATTATAAATTAACTCATGCACAGATGCCACTGTGCGCACTCAAGATCTCACAAGCACCCTTCCAGGTACACAGGCAATTCATGTACATGGGCTGCCCCATCTGCCTACATGAAACAACCATGCAACCTAGAACCATCCAGCACTTGCCCAGGACTGCAAAGATCAGCAGCAGTGATCGAGTGTGCCTTTTTTTATTTAAAGGATTGCAATCCTGCTCTTCAGCCAAAAAGGCCCCCCATATGCAATAAGTAAAACAAGGCAGTCCCTGCCTGCAGGTTTATCAACTAAAAAAAAGATACAAAAGGAAAAATGAATGGAAAGGGAAGAGAAAAAAGTAGGCTTTCACCGGAGTTGACAACCTGCTTGCTGGTTGTGTTTTCCCTCTCACCTCCCCATGGACAGGTAGCTGGAACAACAGCTGGGGAGGACCGCTGGGCGAGGGGCCGGTTTTTCAGTAACCCTTTACAAAAGCCTCCCTCCATTAGTGATTTTTTCAAGAAGCAACCCTCAGGAAGTTTCAACACTTTCGAAACCACTGGAACGCACTGGGCTGTATGAAAGGCTTTAAAAATCCAGAAGTACAAATGCAAAGAACCCACAACTTTCTTCCATTAATGAGCTATCCTGACAACCTACTCTCAAGCATGCCTTTTCTGCCTTTTCAGTGTTAAAGGACTCCCCCCCCCACACACACACCCAGGGCTTCTTTAAATCACCTTAACTAGTCTAATTCTCATCCCACTCCAAAAATGTTTACCTCTGCAGCATTATTTATGTTGTTTTATGATGGGGGGGGGTGTTGGCAGCTACCCGCGAAGTAAATCCTTTTTTAAAAAAAGGCTTTGCAAATACAGAAAGAATTTGTGGAAATGACAGGTATCCCACCTTTTAAGAAAGCATTAAGCTTCATGCTGAGCAAGCATTTGCTTGATGCTAAAATGCATCAATATCTCTTCAAAGCTTGCACAAGGCTATTTGTTTATATACACTACTTATTTAACTGGCCCCAAACAGGGCCTTCCATCCAGAGGCTTATGGTATAAAACAGTTAGTACTTGGAAGGAACATAATCAAACTTATGTCCTTCTTTCATAAGTAGATCATGATTAAATTATAGCTTCCGTTGTTCATGAATAGCAATATTAATTCAGTTTCTATCCTTTATTAGAAATTAAAAATGGGTCAAGAAAATGCAAGCTCAAACAAAGCAGAAACAATAAAAAGGACTTGTTTTAAAAGTTAACATCTGTTATCTATTATTGCCAAGTGGAAAAGTGAAATTCTGAAGTACTTGATATGCAGCAAATCAACCAAAATAGAAATGCGGCATTAACTTGGTTGGTTACTGATGAGAAAAACTGCTTACTGGAATTCTCAGCATTCTTACATTTGCTTCATGTTCCCACATAATATTGCACCTTAACCTTTCATCCATGGGAAATAAGCCAATCAGCTCACTCTCAAGATACCTACACTACTTCCAAAGGAGCCAGAAAGTGTCAGGGAAGTTAATACAATGGCTACTCAGAAGCATACAGGGTCAATGTGGCTTGTTTCCTAATTATTTCCATAAAATTAACTATGTTCAATACATATTTTGTAGTGTCTGTGTTCTAACTAAATGTTGCTGTGTGTTATACTAGCAAAAGTCATTAAAGGGGCAATTCCACATTTAGATGGGGAAAAAGGCGATGGGACATGCTGGGAGTTATAGGCCTTTTCTTCTGTCTAAACATGCATGGGATTGTACATTCCACAATGCTATATAAAACATACACTAATGAGCAAGTACTACAACATGAAAAAAGTAAAATAAGTTACCACTAGTTTTATTTATTTATTTACATATTTATAGACTGCCTATAACTGCAGAGGCCTTCCTAGTTTTCTCATTTAGAATTAGAAGCTGATGAAAGGTTAAAGTGCAGGATTATGGGAAATAAAGCCAACATTAATTTAAAAATTATTGCTGATTATAGTGAAATAAGAGTGTTCCCTACTATATGGAAAAACTGTCCTTACATAACTCGATTTTTCCCACCGTAACAACAAAAATATTTCCTATATATATTCATGAAACAATGCAGTAGCTGTGTATGGGCATAATGCCATCATTTTAACATTTATGTGAAAAAGTCTCTGGCTTGGTTTCTGCCCCCTCCCGTCCCCTTCCCCCCTAAGGGCAAAATGACTGGAAGCTCTTGTTGCTGTTTTTAACTAAATGCAGTTTACTGCTATACCTAAATCTGGATAAAGAGTGGTTAGTCTTAACAAGGATTACAGAAGCAAACTGACCTCAAACCATGGTTTATAAACTCCTCTAGTTTCAATAAACTCTAGCTAAAAATAACAAGTTTTGGGTCTGTATATAATGCTGAACTGTAGGTAGCTATCTGAAAACAGTAACAAAACCTTGCAATCTACCTCTTATAACTGCACAGCTGCAGAGCGATAAACAACAGTGCATGACCTGCAGGCTCCAGGGCATAGCACTGAATCACAGTTTAACCTTACCGCCAAACTAAGCAATATGAATTTTCTGTGCCATTACAGTTAATTAGCTGAACCTCTTTGGGGTTTATAACGGGTCAAGAAATTCCCCGTTCTTATTTCATCAGGTCAGTGGAAGGCCTCCCTCATACAGCACATTCTTCGTACATTTTGAAAGTACTAACATTTAGCAAGAAGTGATCACTACTAAAAGACCTTTCACACAAGACACAGCAGAACAAGTCTTGTTTACACGTCTTGCGTCAACAAGCCTTCACGTGATCTCCCAGGGCGGCGCAAACACAAAATGATCGAAAATACTCATTGTTTGGGGGCCTTTATGGATGGGCACGATCGCGCTTGGGCTTTTCGGAACAAAGGGCTGAGTCTGTCAACTCTGGGCCAGAAAGAAGAGGGAGGGCAGCTCCGGCCACGGGAAAGAGGCCCAGGCCGATCCCCACTCTTTGTTATTGAAACCGACGGATCCCCTCTATCCGCTGCTTGCAAATGCGCGGCGCTGCGCACCGCCTCCCGCACGGGGCTGCCGCGGGCCGCGAGGGTCGCCCGGCGGCCGGGCTCCATCACGAGGCGCGGGGCGAAGGCTCCGCGACGGAGGCGGGCGCCCAGCCGGCACCGCCGCAGCGGAGAGGCAGGCGCCCGCCGCGCTCCTCCCG